GAGCAGGGAGCCGGATGCGGGACTCGATCCCAGGACTCCAGGATCATGACCTGAGCCGAAGGCAGTCGCTTAACCAACTGAGCCACCCGGGCGCCCTCCCTCATTAGTTTTAAAGGCTGCAAGAAACATCATTATGTGCAAGTACCACAGTGTGGCAAATTTTTTTTGATAGACATTTGGCTTGTTTCTAGTCTTTTGGTTGTTGCAAATGAGGCTGATATGAACACCCTTGGGCAAGTATCTTTATGCTTTCCTAAGAATGCATCTGAAGGATACATTTCTTCTTGGAAGTAGAATTGCTGAGTCAGAGCAAATGTGTATTTTGAATTTTGACTGACATTGCCAAATTGCCATCCCATGGCGTGGGGCCAATTGGCACTTATTTTTTCCCATACTGACTGGTGCTGGCTTTATCAGCTTTTTAAAATTTTAACTAATCTGATTGGTAAAGATGCAGCTGAATTCTTTTACTTTGAATTTAGTGCTTCATATTTTTAGTGTTTTTTGTAGAACTTTGTCTCCTGGACACTTATCCCATTCCTAACACCAATAACCACGGGTATAGAGGGGGTTAATTGAATAGCCATTGAACATTTGTCTAATCATATAATTTGACTTGTCTTTACCTTTACAATACTACCTGAAACACATTTGGGAACTATTATTTGAAACTAACAAAAACTTGAATATTCACTTAATTTTTTTTTTTAATATTGTTCATTAGAGAGTGCAGCCTTTCTAGAATGGTAGGTTAAAAATGTCCAAGGTTTTTCAGATCTACGAATCTGCGTTCTAAGGAGAACTAAAGGGAGCCTACTAAAATTGTTGCCCTAAGGAGAGAGAATACTTACAAGATATTACAAGTTCTGTGGAGAAACTTAATGACAAAATTTATATACCTATTTTATTTTATTTTATTTATTATTTTTTTAAAGATTTTATTTATTTTTTTATTTGAGAGAGTGAGAGAGAGAGAGAGAAAGAGCACATGAGAGGGGGGAGGGTCAGAGGGAGAAGCAGACTCCCTGCTGAGCAGGGAGCCCGATGCAGGACTCGATCCCGGGACTCCAGGATTATGACCTGAGCCGAAGGCAGTCGCTCAACCAACTGAGCCACCCAGGCACCGCCATCTTCTCTTTAGACCTTGATCTCCCTCCGGGCTCCCCTGGGCGCTGCACCCCAAAGTCTTCTGAGCCTGCCCCTGCCACTGTTACCGGGGTCCCTCGAAGGACGGCCAAGAAGGCAGAGTCCCTCTCCAACTCCTCTCGCTCTGAATCCATCCACAACAGCCCCAAGTCATGCCCCACGCCCGAGGTCAGTGCTGGGGAGGGGCCTGGGGAATGGGGCAGTGGGTGGCCCTATCCTCCTCTGGGGTCCCCAGGAGTTGGGTGGCTGCTGGCCATGTGGGGTCACAAGTTGGGAAGTGGAGCCAGGCCCTGGGAGAGAAGGACGTGTGGATTTCTTGATGGGCAAGGAGCTCAGGTGGAGCCTGCCCTGCCCCCCAGGGTTCCAGCGCTCTACTTTGGGGCTGCCCAGCCCCACCCCTCTGGGGCTCACAGAGGCCCCAGAGTCCCGAGCTGGATGGAGAGAGACGCACTGGCGCCAGGATCCGTATAATGAGACTGTTCATGCGAGTGTCTGTAGCAGAAGCAGGTGGTTGTGTGGGAAAGGATGCAGGTTCTGGGATTCACATCCCAGCTCTGTCTTAGGCGAGTCTCTGACCTTTTCTGGGCTTTGGTTTCGTTGTCTGGATTTTGGAGCTAATAAAACCTGCCTTGTAATGTTGTCCTGAGGATTACATGAGAAAATAGAAGGAAGAGCACTGCAGGGCACACAGTAGATGCTTAACGTGCGGCAGCTATTTTCATTACCAAGTGCTTGATCACCTTGTCTCTCCTCTCTAGGAGGGGCAAACCTCAAACCCCAGAAATGGGGGGCACGGCAGGTCAGAAGCAGCCCTGCTGTCAAAGGTTGTGGAAAGCGGTAGAACCCAGCCCCGGCCTCTACTGCCCTCTTGTGGGCTAGAATGACGGTGCAGGCTTTGGCGCTGTGATTGGAGGGGCCGCCGGGTCTCCCCGTTCCGGACCCTCCTTGCAGGGACTTCTCTAGTCTCTGCCTCCTTGCCTCCAGCTCTTCCCAGTTGGAGTGCTTTGCTGCATTTTTCCCTTAAGGAGACAAACTGCCATTGGTCACCGCCCGCACACCAGTGTTGCTGGTTTCTTCTCTGATGGGGAAAGCGGTCTTACTTACTGGGCGGGTGCAGCCGAGGCCCTGGCTCAGGAGGGATCCAGGTTGTCCTCACTCCCCTTTGCTAGGGCAGCGGGGCTCTGCCAGGACCTGCGGGCTCGGGTGCTGATTTAGGAAACATTGGGGATCATTGCTGCTGGCCTTGTCCAGCAGGTGCTCTCTCTCCCTTCTCAAAGCAGCGGGTCCTCTGGCTCATCCTGGAAACCTGCCTGCTTTGCCATTGGCCCTGGGTCCCGAAGAGCACTGGCCCCTTCTGTTTGCCCACAGGTGGACACGGCCAGTGAGGTGGAAGAGCTGGAGGCAGACAGTGTCTCCCTGCTCCCAGCAGCACCCGAGGGCAGCCGGGGAGGAGCCAGGATCCAGGTCTTCCTAGCGCGCTATAGGTGGGCACCTGCCCCTGCTCCCCGTTTCCCTAGGGTTTCGGGTGTGCGGGAGGCAAGGACCAGGTGAAGAAGACAGAGGCCTCTGGAGGGGGCAGCAGTGGTACAGGGATCCTAGTTGGACATGTCCTCTCAGCCTAGTTGGGCCGGGTGGGCGCAGTGAGTGCTCTACTTGGCTAATGGGGGACCACCAAGTGTCCATAAAGGCCTAGTACAGTGGGGGAGAGGAGACGGGACATGGAGGCAGGATGTAGGTCACCGTCCTCTTCCTCCTCCACACCTCCTTCAACAGTTACAACCCGTTCGAGGGCCCCAATGAGAACCCAGAGGCAGAGCTTCCTCTTACTGCTGGCGAGTACATCTACATCTATGGCAACATGGATGAGGATGGCTTTTTTGAAGGTAGGAGGGTAGCAGCGTTGTTCTGTCCATCCCCCTGCTTTTAAGTTCCTCTTCCCAAAGATCTCCACCCCCCAGGCCCTCTCCCCAGCCGGCTCAGCCCGCTAGAACTTTTCTGACTCCGCTAAAAAGCAGCCCGTGGGGAAGGGACCTAGGACAGGGGGCAGCTGGTCTGACCACAGGTCTGCTGCAAGCAGGGCAGGACAGGGCCTACGACAGCCCAGACGATGGATGGCGTTACAGGGAATTTGGGCTAAATTTGCTTCTGTGCTGCCGGACAGGGCAGGACGGTGCTTAAGTCTAGTGACATCAACATCGGGCGTGTGGCGTAGATCTGACGCTGGACTCCAGTCGGGTGTGGGGAGGAGGAATCAGGGTCCAGAGCTCGGGAAAGGGGGTTAGGAAGTAGTCAGCAGGTGTCTGGGCCCGGGCAGGGCGTGGGCTTCAGGGCAGCTCTCCAGGGCCCATGGGGAGCTCAGGCCACGGCCCATGACTGAGACCAGGCAACAGGGCAGGGCCTGCCCAAGACACGGTCTCGGGAGACTCCCCAGGTGGCCCTGGCCACACGGTAGGGAGAACGACGCTGTGGTGCAGGCAGGGCAGGGTAAGGACCATAACCACGGACGGAGATTTAGCAAAGAAGTCAGGTCTGAATCCGTAAGGCCCAAAGCTTGGGGTTTGGAAGGCTGGGTCTTCGAGCCCGCTCCGCATGCCTTCCCCGGGCCCAGCGGCTGGTCTTTGAGTAGCTGCCGTGAGTGATGGTGAATAGCTAAACTCCCCGGAGATGTGCATAACAGAAGGGGGATTAAATATTTTCCAGAAAAACTACTTTTTAAATGAAAAAAACCCCAGAGCCCACACCTTTTCTTGGAGGGGGGGGTGGGTAGCCAAAACACAAATAGTAACTAACCACAAATTATTAGAATTTGAACTATCTGATCTGGGATAGACTTAAAGGCCTGGAGACAACTGGGCCCAGGATGCCCTGTCCCCCCGTCAGACTTAGCTACATGACGGCTTCGTCTGCGTCTGGTGCTGCCTGGACCACTGTCCGCGGTTCCAACTTCGGGAACGTGGGCCTGGCTCTGGTGGGGGCTCCAGCGCCAGCCTTTCTGGACGGTGGATCCGCTTGGTGCAAAGGCTCCTACCTTCCCTGTCCCATTCCTTAGTGTCCGTGCTTATACTGACGTCCTCGGGCTGCCCAACCAAAGTACTGACTGGCTGGTTTAAAACAACGGAAATGCAATCTCTCACACCCCTGGAGGCCAGACGTTTGAAATCAAGGTGTTGGCAGGGCCACGCTCCGTCTGGAGGCCGTCAGGGAGACTCCATCCCCTGTCCCTTCCAGCTTCGCGTGATTCCAGGTGTCCTGTGGCTTGTGACCACGTCACTCTGGTCTCTGCCTCTGTAGTTCCGTTGCCGCCTCCCCTTCTCCCAGTGTCTTGCTTGTGTGTCACTCCTGTAAGGACACTTGTCATTTGATTTAGGACCCATCCATATAATCCAGAACGATCTCACCTCAAGCTCCTGAACTTAATTACATCTGCAAAGATGCGTTTTCCAAATAAGGCCACAGCCACAGGAGCCAGGGATTAGGATGTGGACATATTTTGGGGAGGTCACCAGTCGACCTACTCCAAGCACTTATAGTTATCGAAGTTATTGGAAGTCACTGTTGTTTCTTCAAGTTTCCCTACTTTCTCCCCCTCCTGGCATAAGTGGAGAGCGAGGGTGCTGGGGAAACTTGCCGGCCCTCCTGCTGCTCAGACCCGTCTTCCTCCTCCACACCCCCTTCCGTAAGCCCCGGGCCCTGCTCCCCCTTCCTCCTAATAAGGCACAGTGGCTGCCAGCTCGTCTGTTCCCTGGGAGCCCACTCCCTTCTCCCAAATTAGCTGTGACAGGACATGCTGTGTGCCCAGTTTCTTCCTTCCTGGACGGCCCTCTGTTGTCACGTGTTCAGGGGAACCTGCACAAGGTACCAGAACCGACCTCTGGTCACTGCCTGGACTGACCGCCAGTCCTGTTCCTAGACCCCGGCCCGCGGTGGGTCCTCATCGCTTCTAGAACCCAGAGGGGAATCTTCTCTGGCACTTATGTCTTTTGTCCCTAGAGATTCCTTCTCTCACCCTGACCGTGTGGTGCTTCCTCTCCCACCGAGGAGGCCTGTCTTCCACTAAGGAAGTTGAAGGGCACCCCTGTCCCCACTCCTCAGGCCTTCGTAGTGTGAGAGTTTTCGAACGCACAGAAAAATGAAAGAACGATGCAGCGAACACCTATATCCTCACCACCTCGATTCAACAGTTGTTAACATTCTGTCATATTTGCTTTTTCCGTCTGTAGGTTAAGAAAGAAAAATGAGGTAAAAGCGAGTTGTAGCCATCATGACATTTTGCGTGCGTCTCCTCAGAACGCGGACATTCTCTGACGCTGGCAGAGCCCAGGCGCTTGTTAGAAATGCAGCCTTGCAGCCCCACCCAGACCAAACTAAGTTAGAATCTGCATTTTAACAAATCTCCAGGCGATTCAGATGCACATTCAAACTTAAGAAGCTCTGTCCTCTATCACCACAGTGCTGTTACCACACCTGTGAATATTAGCAGTAACTCCCTCCTGTTAAAAGTGCTCACGGATAAATGTTGATTTGAATCGAATGCTTAAGATCATGCACTAACCATGGCTAAAATGCATTTATTGGACTGGTTTTTCTCTACCTTCTCTCTGTCTTCCCCTTCCCTGCCCTCCCTCTGCCAGGGGAGCTCATGGATGGCCGAAGGGGCCTGGTCCCTTCCAATTTTGTAGAGCGTGTGTCCGACGATGACCTCCTGACCTCCCTCCCTCCGGAGCTGGCCGATCTGTCCCACAGCTCGGGCCCTGAACTCAGTTTCCTGAGTGGAGGTGGGGGCGGCAGCAGCAGCGGGGGCCACAGCCGGCCCAGACCCGAGGACGAGGCTGCAGGGGACGAGCTCAGTCTGAGCCCCCAGCCTGAGGGCCCGGGCGGGCCCCCGGCTGTGCCTTACCCCCGCAGTCTGGTGGTCCTCAGGCAGCTGGCCCACAGTGTGGTGCTGGCCTGGGAGCCGCCTCCTGAGCGAGTGGAGCTACGTGGCTACCACATCGGCGTGAATGGGGAGCTGCGTCAGGCCCTGGGGCCAGGGGTGCCCCCCAAGGCTGTGCTCGAGAACCTGGACCTGCGGGCCGGGCCTGTCCGTGTTTCTGTGCAGGCCCTGACCAGCCAGGGCAGCTCCGACCCTCTGCGTTGTTGCTTGGCGGTGGGTACCCGAGCCAGGGTGGGACCTAGCCAGCTGCGGGTCCGTCGACTGACGGCCACGTCTGCTGAGATCACCTGGGTGCCCGGCAATAGCAACTTGGCCCATGCCGTCTACCTCAATGGGGAAGAGTGCCCCCCTGCCCGCCCCAGCACCTACTGGGCCACCTTCTGCCACCTGCGGCCCGGTACCCTCTATCAGGCCCGAGTAGAGGCTCAGCTCCCACCTCGAGAGTCCTGGGAACCAGGCTGGGAGAGGCCGGAGCAGCGGGCCGCCACCCTGCAGTTCACCACACTCCCTGCAGGTACGCAGGCTTGGCCTTGGGCTGCCCCTACACCCAGAAGGCCGGGCTGCGGGGGTGCCCCAGGGAGCTGCAAACTAGGCCGCTCCCTCAAGGTGAGCGTCCCGTGTCCGTGGGTCTTGTGCCCTCCTCCTCCCCCCAGGCCCGCCTGATGCCCCCCTGGATGTGCAGATTGAGCTGGGACCCTCCCCCGGAGTCCTGATCATCAGCTGGCTTCCAGTAACAATCGACGCTGCTGGCACCTCCAATGGCGTCCGGGTCACAGGCTATGCCGTCTATGCCGATGGGCAGAAGGTATGGCCTGGGGCCTCTGCCTCCCCGTGGCCCGGGAGCAGGATGGGGGTCTCTCCTTGCCGCGCTCAGAGGCCGAGTCTCCCCAGCCTGGCACAGCATGGGGGCCCCACGGAGCCCGCAGATGGGTTGAGGGCGTGGGCTTCGGTAGCAGATGACTGCACTTCCAAAAAGCGTGCCACCAACCGGGGCCACGCGGCCAGGGGCGTCAAGTGAGACGAGACACGCCAAGGCCGCAGCGCGATGCCTGGCGGAACGCTAACCGCCCCCGTTCCCGCGCGTCCTGACGCGTGGCGCCCTGGGCCTCCCTCCCCCAGCTGCGTTCCCCCTGCCCTGCAGATCATGGAGGTGGCCTCGCCCACGGCGGGCAGCGTGCTGGTGGAGCTGTCCCAGCTGCGGCTGCTGCAGGTGTGCTGCCAGGTGGCCGTGCGCACCATGTCGCCCCATGGCGAGTCGGCCGACTCCATTCCAGCTCCTGTACCCCCGGCCCTGGTGGCAGCCTGCCTGCCAGCCACGGCCTCCTGCCCCTCGCCACGGCCAGGCTCCGAGGCCAGACCACCCCTTGCTCCGGCTTCCCCCGGGCCTGGAGACCCCAGCCCTCCCCTCCGGCGCCCTGACCCCCATGGAACTCGAGAGCCCCCCGGCGGTCCCCCTGCCGGAGAGACACCAAAAGGATCCCACGAGGATCCCCCGGCACCTTGCTCGCAGGTACCCCGCTGGGGGCGAGGGGGAACAGGTGGAGGCTGGGACAAAGGCCTGGGGCTTGGGCCCTTCCTCAGTGCCTGCCGTTCCAGGAGGAGGCTGGGGCAGCTGTGCTGGGTGCCTCAGAGGACGGGAGGGCCAGCGAGCCCACCATGGGCGACAGAGCTCCCGACCCTGCAGCCTCGCCACTGGCCCAGGAGGAGGCTCTCCCAGCACCCTGCTCCACCCAGGGAGCCCTGGCCCAGCAGGTGCCCTGTGCTGAGGCCTGCCGCGGAGGAGACTCAGGATCTGGGCTGAGGCCCGGGGCTGAGGTACGGGGTTGGGGACACACTGGGCCATCTCATAGAATTGGGGCCTGCCTCCCTGCCTCTGCCAGCCCGAATCTGGGGGTCCTCTCCATTTATTTCCTGCTCTGGTCTGTGTTCGAGTCTGCTGCTTTGTTGCTTCGTCTTCCCAGATGTCTCTTTTCCTTTTGGCTACTATCCTTCTTCCCCCCACACCTCCCTGCCCCCCGTCCCATGCACACCTCCCACTTGGGACATGACCCTCTCTCCCTCTGCCGAGGGACTCCCGCCATTCCGGCTGGGGCTGACCCTTGCAGAGCTGCCTCCCTCCTCAGACCCTTCCCTCTCTCCTCCTTTGTCTTACCTCTCGCAGAGGGAGGACGCAGCAGAGCTCGGGGGCCGTCTGGTGAACTCCCTTGTGGACCATGGCCGCAACTCAGATCTCTCAGACATTCAAGAAGAGGAGGAGGAGGAGGAGGAAGAGGAGCTGGGTTCCAGGACTTGTTCTTTCCAGAAGCAGGTTGTTGGCCACGGCATCAGGGAGAATGGGGCCAAGGTAATGGGGGGAGGAGGGGCTGGTGGGCCCTAGACCTCGGGTTCCAGGGGCCTCTTACCACCCCCCTGGCCAGCAGCCGCTCCAGCCACCACCGAGTGCCAGCAACATTCTAGGTGTGTGGCCTGGGCCCTGTCCCACGCAGTCGATAGGAAGTTGCTCAGGATTGGCCTCTGCGCTCCTGGGAGGAAAGGAGAGGATGAGGAGCTCTCTTCTGCCCCTTCTCCCACTCCAGCCCACCACAGGCAGAGCCCCGGCCATCTGAGATCCCTGCTGGGAGCCTTTAGGGAGGGCTGGGGAGGCCTCTCTGCTGTTACAGGCACGGTCTGCTCCCAGTCACTCCCGTCCCTCAGGGCCCCAACATCCCTGCAGCCTGTTGCTTGGGTGTGTCACCCAGTTCCTCCTCCAGCTGCGCTCTGGACGTGCTGGGGGACTTTGGGCCAGCCCCCTCTCTGGTCTTTCCTCTTAGAGGAAGCTGAGGGAGGGCTGTGGGGTTGCCTGCAACCCCTGCCCTCATTTGAGGACAAAGGTCACAGCTCTGTCCTCTTCCCACGGACCTCTCTTCCCTGCTGCCCTTCCCGCCCCCCCCCCCCAGCCCCAGCCCCAGCCTGACCCCTTCTGTGAGGCTGACAGCGACGAGGAGATCTTGGAGCAGATCCTGGAGCTGCCCCTCCAGCAGTTCTGCAGCAAGAAGCTTTTTAGCATCCCCGAGGAGGAGGAAGAGGAGGACGAGAAGGACGAGGAAGACAAGGAGGAGGAGGAGGAGGAGGAGGAGGAGGAAGATGAGGAGAAGCCAGGGACAGGCTGTTCTTCCCGAGACCCCGGCCCACCTGAGCCAGCGACGCTGGGGCTGGGCTGTGACAGTGGTCAGCCTCGAGGACCTGGCCCATGTCCCTTGTCTCCAGAGCTCTGCAGGGCTGGGGACCGCCTGGAAGACATGCCTGGACTAGTGGGTGGAAGCAGCCGGAGGCGAGCAAGTGGCTCCCCCGAGAAGCCCCCAAACCGCAGGCGGTCCCCAGACCCCCGTGAACACTGCAGCCGACTTCTCAGCAACGGCGGGCCCCAGGCCCCTGGACGACCGGGCCCCTCACGGGAGAGGGGCAGCCCCCCTGTGGGCGAGGGGACCAAGGGTGTGCCAGAGGCTGCTGGGAGAGGGCGGCCGCCCCCTTCCCGGAGGTGCTCCCGGGGCCGAGCCCCAGAATCTAGCCTGGCCAGCTGCCTCTCCCCCAAGTGCTTGGAAATCAGCATCGAATATGATTCTGAGGATGAGCAGGAGGCAGGCAGCGGGGGCATCAGCATCACCAGCTCCTGCTACCTCGGAGATGGGGAGGCCTGGGGCACGGCCCCTGTAGGAAGGTCCAGGGGGCCTCTGAAGGCTAATTCAGGCCCCAACCCCTACCCGCGCCTTTTGGCCTGGGAGAAGGGGGAGCCAGAGCGGAGAGGCCACAGTGCGACTGGCAGAGCCAAGGAGCCACCCTCCCGGGTCCGTGCCCACCCCCCGCCCCACCCCGGCAGCCCCCTGCCTGCTGCCGCCTGGTGGCTCTGCTTGCTGCCCACCAGCCGCTCCCATTCCACGCTGCCGCCTCCATCCACGGCGGTGGGGCTGGGCCTCTGGGCTCCTTCCCCTGCCGCCTCCCACCCGCATTCCACTGCTTTGCTGCTTCTGCTGATCCGAACTGGGATGCACAATATTCTGTGATCGCTAGTCGCCAATTGCTGCCAGCCGGCCCCCTGCCTGTGGGCCTTTCCTCTGCTTAGCTAGTTACATCTTCGGGACACTGACGCGGAGAAGAGGCTCTCCTCTCCCACGCTCCTCGGCCAGCTCTAAGAGCTAACCTTAGTCCCCTCTACTGCACTCATCCGCTAGGGTGGCCAGAGCCGGGGTCTCCCCTCCCGCCTTCCTCCCGCCACGGGGGTGTCTGATGTCTCCCCGAGACTGGGTCAAGCCTCCAGGAGAGGAACGTTGGGCCCCTGCTCTGCTGTGCTGCTCATGCTAACGGGGCAGAGCTGGGGAGCGCCCGCGGGGGGCCTGCCCCTGCTGAGCTGCCCACCAGCGGGGACGGTGGGTCACTTCTGCATCTGTTGCCCTCTCTTTGCAGGCAGCAGAGACCGGGGAGCCCAGAGGGCAGGACAGCTCTGGGCGGAGGGGCCCCCCGCGGAGAGGGGCCCAGGCCCCCAGGGCGTGCGCCACCGAGTTGGGTGAGCCCCTGACGGGAGCGGGGCTGGGCTGAGGGGCTCTCTCCTAACCTGACCCTTTGGCCAGAGCTTATGGTCACTGCTGTCTCCGCAGCCCCTTTGAGGAGCCCCCCAGAAGGAGCGCTGCTTTACCAGGACCTGCCCGTCAGGGTCTTCGTGGCTCTGTTTGACTATGACCCTGTGTCAATGTCGCCCAACCCTGATGCTGGGGAAGAGGAGCTCCCCTTCCGGGAGGGCCAGATCCTGAAGGTGACTGACTTACTGGGGCGGGGGGGTGGGGCGTGCTCTCTCCTTTCCTGTCCTGGAGGTATCCTAGCCTGCATGGGTGAGAACACAACCTCCAGAGCCAAAGGATGTGGCGCTGAATCCCGACTCTGCCCGTTGTGGCTGTGCAACCTTGGGTAGATGAACTGACTGCTCTGGGCCTCGGTTTCCTCATTGGTAAAATGGGGATAACGGTCATGTCTGCCTCACAGAGGCGGTTGAGGATGAGGTTCAGTACGCACAGGGGACGTCAGCTGCCCGGCACTCAGCACAGACTAATAACCGCTGCTCTTAACTTTACAATTTCTTCTGAGTCTCCAAATATTCGTTGAAGGCTCTTTGCTGCTGCTCTGAGGTTACAGAGATCTAGTCCGGGGTGGGCTGGGGGAGCGGACGTGCCGACAGCGAGTGATGAGCATATGGAAAGGGCCATCTTCTCTCATCCCTCCGATCCTTATTCTAGGTTCTTGCCCCGTGCCCCGTTCCCCCACCCACAAAAGGGAGAGCGTTCTTCTGCAATCCTGAGTGGGGTGCTGCGGGGCTCAGGGCGTGGGCCCCAGGGAGCGAGCTGCACTGGCCTCCTGAGACAACTGGTCTTTGCCTTCAGGTGTTTGGGGACAAGGATGCCGACGGCTTCTACCGGGGCGAAGGTGGCGGCCGCATGGGCTACATCCCCTGCAACATGGTGGTCGAGGTGGCCGTGGGCAGCTCCGCGGAGAGACAGCAGCTGCTCCAGCACGGCTGTCTGTCCCCGGATGTTCTCACCGAAGGCTCAGGTGTGACTTGCTGCCGTCCCTTACCTGCCTCCCACCGCCCCGCGTCCAACTGAGCCCCTCCTGAGCAATGTACATGTCCGGGGTGGCCGGGGAGCCTCATTCATGCAGAGTCTGGCAGAGCCTGCGGCCTTGCAGAGACTGAGGCCACTGTGGCCCCAGCAGGGGCTTGCCACTTGGACCGGGGGTCTGCTGCAGAGGGGATGGGCCATGGAGTTTAGATGCTGGAGCTTGGGGATGGGAGAGGAATGCCCTTTAGAAACTTGAGCACGAGAACCCAGTCACAGCCCAAAGAGGAGACTCCAGAGTCACTACCCTATCCCCCTCCCCTGCCTCAGTTTCTCTCTTACATATACTTGCCTTTCTGGATCAGGGAATGTGTACTCTACAGCCCGCACAGCTGGGCCTCCCCCCAAGCCCCGCCGCTCTAAGAAAGGTGGGTGAGAGACCCCCTTCTCCCTCGGGGCCTGTGGAGATGGCTGGGGGTGGGGGGCACTGTTTGGCTCTCTGGGGAGACACAAGCGGGGTTTTGAGCAGTTAAAGGGAATTAGGGCAGACCTTCATCCACATCCATTCCCTCCACTGGGGAGCCTCCTTTTAATGGGGACGGGGAGGGGTTTGCCGGGACCTCTGTTCCAAAACGCACCTGACTGTGAATTCTGCGCAGCCTGGAGCAAGTCATTTACCTTTTCTGGGTCTTAGCTCACTACCAAACTCAAAGGGCTGGGCTGGGCTCCGCTCCGGAACATCTTTCTCCTGCATCCCTTGTGTGAGACTGGGCATCCTACCTGCCCTGCTCCAGCCCCAGCCTGGGATGAGGAGGGGAATGAGGGGCAGGGCTCACTCGCACGTTCTCTCCACAGCTGAGGCGGAAAGCCCTGCCCGACCCTGTGCAGGTGAGGGACCGGTCCTATGCTGGGGATACTGGGAAAGAGGTGGGGCTGGGTGGGTTGTCTGGGCTCCCGCCAGGGGCTGCAACTAGTGGAGAGGTGGTGAATAGGGGATCAGCAGGCCTCCAGTGTGGAGGACAGTATGGCATGGGGGGTGGTCCAGAGAGAGTCCCTAGTCCTCTCCTCCTTGCCCTGCAGGCCACACCCAGCACGTCTCCTCTGCCAGCCTAAAATCTCCCCGAACCATGGTGGCTGCATTTGACTACAACCCTCGGGAGAGCTCCCCCAACATGGACGTGGAGGTGAGGACCCACAGATAGAGCCCAGCCTGGGGGGTGGTGACGGCGCCTCCCCAGGGCTGACACCTGCCTCTTGGGCTCTCCACAGGCGGAACTGCCCTTCCGGGCAGGGGACGTCATTACTGTGTTTGGGGACATGGACGATGATGGTTTCTACTATGTGAGAACATTGGGACGGGGGTGTGCCATACCGCCCACGCTGGCCCTTTCAGGGAGGGCCTTCCTAGAGCAAGGGTTCCTGAAGGAAGCCCGGAGTAATGGGCCGAGTCCCTGCCCATGACGGTGATACTGATCTCAGGCTGTTCCCGCAGGGGCTCCAGGGCCAAGGGGGGTGGGGCTGAGGCCTCTTTTCTGGTCTCAGTCTCACCAGCATCTCCTCCCCAGGGGGAGCTCAATGGACAGAGGGGCCTGGTTCCATCCAACTTCCTGGAGGGCCCTGGGCCTGAGGCAAGCGACAGGGAGCCTGGGACACCCCAGGCTGAGAGCCAGGTCAGTGAGGAGCTGGGCTTCTGGCTCAGCAGTTGGGGCTGAGTACCCTGCCAGAGCGGTGGGGTGGGGGGACCAGGACAGTGTCATGGGAGGGGAACAGCTGGGCTATGAACCAGGTGAGCACTCTGCCCAGCCTGGAACTGCCAGGGAGACCCCAGCCAGGGCCAGCTCCCTCCCAGTATGTGCCCCTTTCTGCAGAGGAATGATGGCTGTGACCCTGATCCCAGGCCCCTCTGACCCAGCTGCCCACACCCCCGGGCTGGTGTAGGTGAGGGGATCTTGTGGAAAAGGACCCCTGGACCCCCCACACCTCTAGCTAGTCATAGCCTGGGTTTCAGGGAACCTCCCACCCTGTTGGGTCTCCCTGCCCCCCAGTGCCTTTTAAAGCCAGTTGCCCAGCAAGGCCTAGCTTCCCCGGTCCTTGTTCTTAGAGCCTGCTTCTCCCTGGGGTGGGTGGAATACAGTTACTTTCCAGCCTCACAGGGCAGGGAGAGGGGGAGGAGGGCAGGCCCCAGTGGGAAACCTTGCGCGCCCATGTGCAATATTTCCAAAGGCAAAGGCTAGGCAGAATTCCAGTTCCCGTGAGCTGGGTGATCTGGTGACTGGGCAGGGAGCATGTGAGTCCGTCCATAACCCATCTCCTCTCTTTGTTCCCTGTTCTTCAGAGAACGAGGAGGAGACGAGTCCAGTGCTAGATGGAGATAGATATATATAGAGAGAGCAACATGTAAGTGGGGGACTGGCCCCCTCTGTTCATGTGACTCACCGCTCCTTACATCACCATAATCAGATAGCGCTCCTTTGTCTTGCATACTAGAGCCAACCTGGCTTTTCTTTCTCCCAGGGAATGGGGGAGGGAGAGCTTGCTGGGAGCCAGATCTGGGTGTAGGATCATCCCCTCCCTTGCCTTTACCCCGGGCAGTGCCAGCTATCATAGGAATACATGTCACTTTAGTACATAAGGCCCCATATTAGCGGACCTCTCATATTCTATAGCTCTGCAGCTTATAGAATATTGTGTGATATCCATATCATGACTCATCAGTATATTATGATACTATATGACTATGGTATTATAATATTGTGATTATTACTGGTGACTGAAGGATGATACAGCCACCAGTAATAATAGTCTCCCTGCCCTTGTCCTCTGCATCATGACCTGTTAGGGGATCAAATGCATGATTTTACTTCTGATTCTCAATTTTCTCTGTTGGAGAGACTAAAGGGGGGGGGGGCTTAAACAAAATCCATAGATAACACTGAACTGTTCATCTCTGGGGTTCAGAGACCCCCTTCAGTTGTTTCCCCAGCAACCCCTCCCTCCTGGGATGTTACGGAAGGAGCCCCGGGAAGGAGTGGGAAGAACCCGGGGCTCCCTGGTTGGCCACCAGCCCTGGCTGGGGAGCAGTAGACACTTAGGCCTCCAGGTGCTGACAGACCTCTCTGTGGGCAGGCCCTGCCACATCATCAGAGCCTGGGGTGGGGTGGCCCCAGGCTGGGCACCCAGCTCCCCTGCCTCTGGCCAGGAGACTGCCAGGCTGTGGTGGCGAGTAGGGGGAGGGGTTTGAGAAGGGAGTGGGGGGCAGGGGTGGGGAACACGTCGGCCAGCCAAGACCCGACTGGGCTGTGCCAGGCACAGGAGGTCACGGCAGGGATGTGGGAATGGGGAGTAGAGATAGGGAGGCTTCCTGGTGGCTCTCCTGTTTACTCACCCCTGTCCTTTAGGCCCCTAACAGCACTATCTGGCTGGGCCCGGGGCAAGGGGAGCCACTCACGGTTGCCAGTGGAGCTAGGAGGAGCTTCACAAGGGAGAAATGCTAAGAGGGCAGCCCTATCCCGAGCTTGTGGGGGGGCCTGAGTGATGCCCCTCTGGCCCAGGCCCCCTGCAGCCCTCTCAGAGGCCATTTAAGGAAGAGTCCCGATCTCCTCCTCATGGAGTGGGCACGGCCTCTGCTCCCTGAAGGGGCTGGGGCACCGCGTCTGCTGGGCTGGACGAGCATGCTTCCTCTGTCTGTGAGGTGGTACAAGGGCTGCCTTCCCCGGGGGTGGGGGGCGGGGGGCTGCCTCTAAGTGGTCCTGGTCCTTGCTCTTCCTTTGCTGCGATGGGGGCACCCATCCCAAGGGGCAGGTCCAAGGACTCCGGAGCTCTGTCAGCCCAGTACCCTACAGAGATGACCCAGGGAAGGGGAGGGGCTTGCCCAGGTTCTGGAAGCAGAATTGGACTTTGTGTCTGTCCCTTCTGACTCCCAGCTCAGCGCTCCCTCAGCATCATCACACACATTCGCCTCTCTGAGCTCTGGATGGGGGCGGGGGGGCAGGGGGGGGCTCTGGGGCTCTGGTTCTTGACCATGGTCTGTGACATGGAGGGCTGCAAGCACCCGAGGCTGCAGGGTGAAAGAGTCAGGTTGGGGCAGGGGGTCAGGCCCTGACTTTGCGCCTTTTCTCTCATATTCCAGGACCGGGCCAGCTCAACACAAGGGCCCCCAGTGCCCAGAGGCTGGCCGTGGGCCCCTGGCCTTGGCAACTTCCCCACAATTGAACTGGGGGGGGCACAGGGCACGAGCGAGAAGGTGTGGGGTCTCCTCTCCAAGGGAAAGCAGCTCCTCAGGAAACTGGGCTCTGGGAAGAAAGAGTGATGCTGTGGCCCATCCTGCAGGCAGAAGCAGCACCCTGAGGCCCCCAGATCACTGGGTGGGGAAGGCCCCGGACGCCCGTTCTTCCGAGTTAACACTGTGGCACTGGGACCGGAATCAGAGCCTCGGTGAAGGTCAGAGCTAGTTCTCAAGGCTGCATCCTCTGGCTGTAGGAGGGGAAACTGAGCCGCAGAATGAGGAAGTAACTTGGTCAAAGTGGCCGAGGACCTCAGTCCCAGCCAGGACGAGTGACTCCTAGTCCACCCACCTCAGCCTAGTTTCCCGCCACTCTCCGCTAGTCCCTTCTTTGGCTCCCCTCCTCTTGATGGCCCTGGCTGTCCTCCTGTCATGTCTTCCTTCCCCTGAAGGCAAGTTTGCACTGGATTCCCTGGAGCCCCACCTCCCCGGGGGGCAGGCGGGGCAGAACCCTGTATATATGTACATACTCAGTGCCTCGGCCCAGCCTCGTCCATGTCGCTTCCACCGCACAGGCCCAGGAAGGAGAAAGGCCACGCCAAAGCGGGCCTAACCCCGCTCCATAGTGCTCCACCCCTCCCTGCCAGCCTGGCCTCCTGGCCCCTGTGTGTCCCCCCACCCCCAAGACCCGGGGGCCAGCGGGTGGATAGCAGGAGTTGGGTTTGCCTTATTTTGCTCATTGGATTCAACTTCTCTTTTGCATCATTTTCCTCTGGTCCCTGTTGGAGTCTGGGGGCTGGGGAAGAGGACAGATTTATGCAGCTATTTTCATACATCCCGTGTTCAGAGTGGGGTAGACAGCTCTCCACCCTGACCCTCACTACCCCCTCTAACCCTGTGGCCGGGTGAGTGTCTCTGCATGTTTCCTTCACTGTGGTGGGAGATCGTTTGACTGAACCTCCACCCCACCCGCCTTGGTCTCCAGGGGTGTGGAATGGTGGGGGCATTTGTTTAAAAAGACATTTTATTATAATAAAGTCTATTTTCACAAAACCCATGCTGGGCTCTACCTGGGGCAAAGGACAGCTGGAGGGGTGGGTCATGCTGAGCTTTGGACTTGAACTTAGAACCCAGAAGTTACATCTGAGGGCGACTGGGGAAAAACCAATGAACACCAAGAAGACCAAGCGGCTCTTGAGTTTCTTTTCTGAAGAAGACGGTTTGGCAGCTCCCTGGTGGCAGGGCCAGGTGTTTGGAGTTGGGGCAGGGTCCCGGTGGGAGATAGAGACCTGGCCAGGGGACGGGGAAACCCAAGAGAAGGCTCTGGTTTCAGGGCAGTGCACTGACCAAATCCTGCCATGTTGACTTTCCTGTGCCAAATTCATAGCAGCAACAGATGTAAGAAAAACCAGCGGGGTAAGCGAGCAAACCATATAGTTCTGCTTGAAAGCAAGAGGGGGGACTCTTAGTGGAATAGAACAACAGGAGTCCAGAGAGGACAGAAAACAGAAACCTCAAAGCAGGGTGTGCGTGGGAGTCCTGCACGTTGGTCCATGCCTAGAGACGGTGCAGACCGAGCTGCAGAAGCCCAGGTGCTGCTGACAGCTCGATGAATCCAGATTCCAGGTGGGGAGCAACCAGGTTCGATGGACTGTTGCACATTCTCCTCCCCAGTGGCCAGGGGCAAAGGTGCGGGTGTCTGCCTTTAGATAGAACAGTGGGAGGGGCAGCGTGGGTCAGAGACCAGGTGGTCCTCTGGGTGGTTGGCAACAAGAAGGATCAATGGCCAGGTGAGGAGCCACCAAAATGTGGCCCTTCGTGCCCCCTCCCTCTCTTGCCCAAGCCCTCCTGCTCACCAGCAGCCTCACCCACCCTGTCTTCGAGGGACTCTCAACTACTAAGGCCGGGACACCATTGAGACTCAACAAACAGATCAATTGGGACAATGTGAACAACGTTGAGTCTTCTGACCTACGAACAAAGTACATCTCTTCATTTCTTTAGGCCTCCAATTTCTCTCAGTAATGTTTTGTTTGTGTATCTTGCACATCTTCTGTCCGATTTATCCCTAATCATTTCATATTTTTGATGTTATTATAAATGGTATTGTTATTTAAAATGTTAATTTCAGATTCTTTGTTGTTAGTATATAGAAACACGACTGATTTTTATATTTTGGCCTTGTCTGCTGCAACCTCACCAAACTCACTTCTTGGTTCTAGTAGCGTTTTTTATAGGTTCTTTAGAATTTTCTACATATGTGATCATACCGTATATAAACAAAGACAGTTTTACTTTGTCTTTTCAAATTTTGATGCCTTTAATTTCTTTTTTTAAAAAATATTTTATTTATTTGTCAGAGAGAGAGGGCATAAGCAGAGGGAGCAGGAGAGGGAGAAGCAGGCTTCCTGCTGAGCAGGGAGCCCCATGTGGGACTCGATCCCAGGACCCTGGGATCATGACCTGAGCCGAAGGCAGACACTTAACCGACTGAGCCACCCA